CAGATGTCACAGACGGGGTTCCTTAGTGTTCACTCACCCATAAAATACGCAGAAAAGCAATTGAGTAAAGGGCTCCCCGACTTCCAGGCACAGATATATGTGTGCCTACTTGAACCAGAATCATTCATACTTCCCAACTCGACGTACACCTTCAATGCTACTGACCAGCAACTGGGGGTTCTTTTGGTCACAATTTTCACTGCCATTCAAAAAAAACTCATTCTAAGATGATTATAATATTAAGGGCTAAGATTTATCGTGTGTTTACTGGATGTCAGGTACTGCTCTAACCTATAAATGTGTGAACTCAATTAAAGTTTTAAGGCAATGTGAAGGGTTAATTTTACTATGATTATCATTTCTGCTTTACAAAAGAGGAATTGAGAACTCAGAACATTCAACAACTTGTCCAAAATTAACAGGTAGTAAGTGACTTGAGCTGTAATTCAAACTGAGGCTGGAGTGACTCTGCACTACAACCCAGGCTGTGATTTCTCTTGATTGTTTAGACACTTAGTCCTACATCAGCACTGGGTTACTCCTTGGAAGTTCTGAAGGTTAATTTTAGCTGTTGATGTGATTGGATTAAAGGATGCCTAGAAAGCTGGTTATTATTTCTGGGTGTGTCTGTGAGGATGCTTCCAGAGGAGTTTGACATGTGAGTCCAGGGACTAAGTGGGCATCATCCTACCAACTGGGAGCCCAGATACAGGAAAATGTAGAAGAAAGCTAAAATCAATCAATCTCTCTCCTCCTCCTCCCCTCTCTTGGGAGCTGGGACATACTTCTCCTGCATCCAGACATCAGAACTCCAGATTGTTTGGCCTTTGGCTCATGGGGCCGCCTAGGTTCTCAGGTCTTTGGTCTCCAACTGAGAGTTACATGAATGGCTTCTCAGACCTTCAGACAGCCATGCTAACAGCTTGCCGGTTCCTCCTGCTGGCATATGGCTTAATATGATATTTCTCAGCCTCCATGATCACTTGGATCAATCCCCCTAATAAATCCCATCTCATCTATCTATACCATTCTTTTTTTTCCCTATCTATCCATCTATCTATCATTGGCTTTATATATTCAAGGGTTTCATATTCCCAGATTCAACTAACCTTGGATGGAAAATATTCAGAAGAAATTGTGTCTATACTGAACATGTACAGACTTATTTCCTGTCACTAAACAAAAAAGTATAACAACTTTTTACCTTGCTATTTACATTGTATTAGGCATTATAATCAATCTAAAGATGATCTAAAGTACATGTGAAGATGTATATAAGTTACAGGCAAACACTACACTATTTTGCATAAGGAACTTGAGCATTCACAGATTTTGGTATCCACAGGAGTCCTGGAGCCAACCTTGTACAAATATATCTACAGATATTTACCGATATCTATATAGATCTGTAGATATACTCTATCAGTTCTGTCTCTTGTAGAGTATTCTAACCAAGACAGAAATACAAATACATCCAGGACAAATTTCATTTTTTCTTAGCTAATGTGATATAAGAGGCAGATATGTAGAAACAAATATCTATTGACACCTTTTATTAGCAGCCAGAACAAAGTGTCATGCACAGGTCATTAGATCCCCCAAAGCAGGATTCAAAAAGGCTTTTAAGAGAAAGCGGTGTTTGAATTCTTTGGGTTGAGGAGAAAAGAACATTTGAAATCAAGGGAACAGCATGACTGCAGCTCAAGGCCTGAAAGTGGAGTAGACCAGGTGCAGAATAATCCACTTTGCTAGTGTAGCACCTGACCATAGAAAGAAGTCAGCTTGAATCACAATGGTCAGAAGGGTACTTTGCCAAAAACTTATGGGAAATACTGTGCCTAGCTTTGAGAGGTTTATTTACTCACTCGTTCATCATTTTAATGACTGATTTTTGTTGTTGTTGTTGTTGTTGTTTTGTTTTGTTTTGTTTTGGAGCACCTATATGCCAGGTAATAGGGCGAGCAGTGAAAAAGACTCATGGGCTCTCTCCTTTCATTCAGGAAGGATTAAAAAGGGAAACAGCCACATAAACCAATCACTTTAACATGGTAACTGATAGGGGCCAAACAAGACTAAAACACAGAGAAGGGGCACCTAACTTACACTGGCATTATCTTGAGCTTTGGTCTACTGCACGATCTTTTGATGCAGGTCCACTTACGCAGAAAGATTCATCAGGCCCGGCACAAAGCACAAGCCACTGGACAGCTCTCCAACATGGGGTGAGAAGTATTGTTGAATGAAAATGCACAAAAAGGATACAATCATGTCCATAATTTTTTAGACAATATCATGCCAATACCTGCTGTGTTGCAGGAAGTAGATGTACTTTTAGAGGGTAGATAAAGGTAGTTATATGATTGAGACAGAATGTGGGGGGAGGAGAATTGGTCATAAACTGACAAAGGAGATTGTGATTGTTTCAGTAACCCTGGAGTCAGGTAGATTCAATACAACTATAGCCCTCTCCCTTAGCTTATGACCAAGCCTCATTTTTGACATCTGTTAAGTTTTTAATAGCGATTGTGTAGGAGCTGTACATCTTTTCAACCTTAAAGGGAAAGCTATAACAACTTTGATGGCAGCAAGAAAGAGAGTGCACATGTGCAAGAGCAGTATTACATATAACCCTGGGCAAAGAGCACATGATGGCTCTCTCCCTTTGTTTCTTCATCTCTAACTTGGTGATCATAATACTATTCTAGTTCATAATAAGAATATTATGGAGATTAATTTAGGTAATCCAATTAATGTGTACTACCTATGTTCAAAATGTCCTAATATGCATTATCCCCTCTCCTTCTACCCAATAAACCCCTTACATTATGTAAGTTAAGCTCAAAGTTCAAATACAAATGCCTGGAAAAATTAAAAGGGAAACTTCAAAAGAGGTTAGGTACTGAAGAAATGAGCTTAACGTTATCTCAGAGAAGAAATCAAACCTAGGCAGGTTCCTGTGAAATGTCACTCCTGGAATAGGCCGCCTTTGTCCCCCCCCACCAATATGTCCCAAGAGCAGAGGCAATCACCCAGATGGCCTCTCATTCACCTGATTTAAGCCTATTCCATTTTCTGCACAAAAAAAGACTTTAGACACATAGCCTTAATAGCTTCCAGTATAAAATAGAGCATCATTGAATCGCTACCTCTGAAGGTTGGGGACAGTCCTTTCCAGTCACTCTTCAGCTTTAGGGGGGTTGTTCGGTTCCAGGGACAGCTGACAGCCTTATTTAGCCAACCAGCTGCTCTGGGATACACAATGTCCCTAATACTCAAAGTCTGGTGGTTGATTCTTTTGTATAAGCAGCAGTTGGAGGAGAATCGATCAGTTCCTTTGATAGCCTCAGGGTGTCAACGCTGCCATTCAAATCATTACCAACATAATTATTAACCATTGTTTTAGTGAGATGTCTGTGAGACAATTGTTTTTCTTTCTTTTTCAATCATTAAAAAAACAATCAAATTTCACTAGAGAAATGCTTGCCTCGAGTCACATAGCACATTTATTAACACCCTTCTGTTTGCCCAGTTCACTGTAAAGCCTTGGAAGAGGGAATTCTTAAAATTCTGTCTCTGGTGTTAAAGAATTAATAGTGCTGTGGGGAAGAGGTTCACACACACACACACACACACACACACACACACACACACACACACGAAAAAGTTATATAGTATACTACACATTGCTATAGAGTCAGGGACAGTGGCAATTTTGTTTCCTGAATTTTATTACAGTGACAATGGGGTGTTTGGGAGGATACACCCAGAGTAGAGTTGGAGAAATGGGATGTTGTGGTGGAAAATTGCCTTCTTTTCCAGCAGGTAAGAGAAAAACAACCCAGGGAGTGGACAGGACATGCACCCATTAGAGCAGCCACCAGTGCCTGACTCTTTGACAAGAGAGTTCATCATTCAGGATAAATGTTAGAGGTAGCTTTAAAAGGGCTTTTGCTTCAGGAAGAATGATGTGGCCTGGGTAAGTTAGCGACACTTTCTAAGGCCTTGTCCATACTGTGGCTTGGAGCCACATTTTGAACCCATTTTTCAAGCATGTTAAACTCAAACACTTCTCAGAGTAGTGCACGTGGAGAGGTCACAAATCAGTCTCCATAATACCTCTGGTAGGACTGTCTACTATCTGTCTACTGACTATTGAAGCTTGTTTCGGGCTATGCCCTGATGGTCCCTGTGGTCTCTGTGTTCACATTTTTAAATGTTCACTATCATAAATGGAACTTGTTCCACTAACCCTGTCCAGAGAATGAAAACACTAAAGACAAAGTCAGAAAGAGGGATGAGAGCCGCATCTGAAACCAACCTGGCCAGTGAAGGGAGTAGGGCCCAGGAGGACCCTGTAAGTTGAAGCTCCGATCCTGCGCGGATCGGGCCACCGCCCTGGCCTCCGCGTGGCGCCCTCGGGCTCAGAAACCGCGCGGGAAATGTGGAGACCCCCTATGCTAGGTGCGACCTGGGTCGCGGTGGTGGCGTTGAGTGGCAAAGAAAGGGGCGCAGGTGAGAGACACGAAATGTCCGGGTCCAGAGCCCGGGAGGAAAGAGCCAGGGGCCGGTGCAGGGATGGGCTCCAGGTCAGGATGAGCAGTGCCTGACGAGGCCCCTGAAGCGCGCGGGTTGGAGTGAAAGCCAGGCAAAGAAACGTGGAGCAAAAACTGACAGTGGTGACAGTGGGGCCCTGGACTGTGCTAGAGGTGGGAAGAGAGCAGCGGAGACCGAAGGTGATGTGAAGTCCCCGGTGAGCCTAGAAACAAACGCACAACCTTCTGTGGCGGACCAGGACATGGACCCGGGAAAGAACGCGGGCGGAGAGACGTGACCGGGAAGCTAGGCGCGCGTCACCACCCGGGAACGAGCGCGGGCCCTCAGCAGAGCGCGCTGGAACCCGACAGGAGCCAGAGAGTAGGGAGGGCGCCGCGTTTACAGCCGCGGTGGCGGGGTGGGGTCGAGTGCGCGTGCGCGGCTCGTGCGGGCGGGGAGCGGGCGTGGGGCGGCGGGAGCGAGCGTGCGCGCGGCCAGGAAGCTTGGGCGGCGGGTCTTGCCTGTGACTGCTGTGGAGGCTGCTGGTCCTGCCTTAAACGGCCGCGGAGGCGGCGGCTGTTCCAGACACCTGCGGCGGCGGCGACCCCCGGGCGGCGCGGAGATGTGGCCCTTGGTGGCAGCGCTGTTGCTGAGTTCGTTTTGCAGCGGTAAGTGGTTCCTGGCTCTCAGCCCTGAGCTTGTCTCTGCGCCCCTACGGCGTCCCCCGCAGGCGTGTGGGCTGCGCCCCCGCTGCGCAGGAGGCTCCGGGGAGAGGGTGGCCTGGGCGCGGGATGCTCGGGCCCTGTGCGCCCGGAGTGCGGACGTGGGAGGGCCCTGCGGGTAATCGGGCGCCCCCTTCCTTTCCTCCTTTCTTTCTCTTCCCCCGGGTGACAGCGGGCTCATCTCCTTCACCCCGTTTGCACCTCCAAATGCACAAACCGAGGAAGACTGGAAAACGCACAACTCGTGCAATCGCGAACTATAAAGAAAGGGCGAGATCAGAGGCGAGGGGTGGCAGCTGCCAAGGACCCTCTTCTTTCGCACCCTCTCCCTTCTACTTGCGTTTGGGGTTTAAGGAGGGAGAGTGGGAGGGCCCAGGCCTCTTGTGATGGAAGTGCGCATTTTGGTGAAGTCGACCAGAAGGGGTTTTGCCCTACTGCATGAGCATCAGAGCGAATGGAGATGAAAAGGACGCAGTTAAGTTTCATTCCCGACCCAGCATTTATCAGAAGAATCTTGTGACCGCTTTTTTGTTGTTGTTTTTAATCCAAAAATAAGCTTCCTTGAAACTCTTTTCTCGTAACCCCCACACTTTAATACATTCCGAATTGTGGGTTGAAGTTTTCCCACTTTCCTGGGGGAACCCTTTAAAAAGTTAACCAGATTTCGTCTGAAATATGAATACAGTAACCTCGAGTCAAAACACATGTGCAGCAGAGTGGGATTTGGTATCTTTTGACGTCAAAGGAGTGCTCCCCCCCCCACGCACACGCGCGCGCGCACACACACTCACACACACACACACAGTTTTTGCACTTAATTCTCTTTTTAGAAATATGTGCTTCCTCTGTGAAAACCGAGGAAGGAATAGGAATTTCGATGATCTACAATGCCTTTCATACTTCATATTTGTACCCTTTGTGAACTTTTGTAAGATTCAGAATTGAGTTTGAGTAGGACTAACAGCAATTGTTACATTTATCCTAAAATGTTAAATTAGTTCGATTTAAAACTGTTTACTAGTCTCAGTGTGTCATTCAAAAAGGCTTGTGTCTTGTAGTTATTTGAAAGATGCCCTTAATTCCCTCCCAAGCATCCTGGATGTTGCAGCTATTAATAATCAAGATCTCTATTATCTAAACGGTTGGTGTTAGGTGTTTCCTGTCATCATCTTTAGTATGCTTGTTGTCATTACTATCATTAGAGCTAAAATGATGCTGCTTTCAAATACCTGTTGTGTAATCAGAGAGCCTTCATATTGAACCAGATATAAATTCATAATAAAATATCACTAATTCATACCATTGTTATCAAAGCTTATTTGAGAGTAAAAAGTGTAAACCATGTATTATTTTTAAAGCAGGGGTCCTATTTTCATGTAAATGAAAAAGGACTGTTGAAATTGTACTTTGGGGACTAGGCCTTCCTTAGTTATAGTTAAGATCCCATTTAATTAACATTCGTTTTCATACAATTTTAATGCAATCAAATCCCTGAAGAATTCAGAATTTGTAGTATTTTATTGTACTTGTTAATATTAACCTGGAAAAGAAAAACAAGTACAGGCATTATGCATTTGAATTTAAGGGCTGAATATAAAACAGGAAGTGATAGTGTTTTTCATAAGATAGAATGAATTTTTGTGTGTTTCTTAAGTAGCTTCAAGAGAATGTGTATTGTGTTAACACTCTCAAAACACAAGTAGTTATAATTCAAGGGATTTGGAAGACTGAATTTAGAATCTAGAGTAAAGAAAAAACATAGCTTTATACATTCATTTGTACTGAAGCTTGATTTTTGCTTTCAGTTTCATTTGTAAAGCACTTGTAATCAGAAGCTACTTCTTGGTAACCTCTACCGTTTCAGTGACCTTTGTGGTAAAGGAAGTTTTCTCAGAAAACCTATTTCAGCCAATTAAAGGCAGAATGCAACTCACTGTAATGGTTTACAAGATAGAGAATGAATTGGTATGTTTTCCCCATATGTCCAATTATACTTTGTTTAAAAGTACATCAACAGCTTCAGTGATATTCACTTACTAGTGAATACAACCTTAACTAAATAATGGCAGTGATGTATATGAACTGTCTTTTTAATGGCTGAATGATTTTTCTTTGTTCAAAGTGTGTATATATATATATATATATATATATAAAGGGTACACATGATTACATTTTTTAAATCCATTTTTTTTTGTCCAAGTCTAGTAGTCATTTGGCTTGTTTAAGTTAAAATACTTTCTTTTTTTCCTGAAGAACATATGATTTTTAAACATGGTTGCTGTTTTAAGGAAGCAAACATCCTTATTTATGGGGCCATCCCAGCAGTCTAGAGGCAGTATGTTAAAGCATTTCACTAGATGCCTAGCGTTAGAGCACTTGTTCATGCTGTCACATGTGTTTTGGCAGATGTCTTGTCCTTGCCACTGAGGTGTTAATGGAGATTTGAAAGGCCAGGTTTGAAAGATGAAAAGTAGGTATCCTACCTGCTCCCCCACTGATAACTATTCTAAATCCAAAATAATGCTTTATTTTATCAAAACTAAGTTTGGATATCTTAATGTGCATTCAGCTATAGCTAGTGCAGATATTGTTTTTAATATAGTAATATTCTTTTTGTGACATAATTTTCAGGCAACCATTTTATCTGTCTTTTTCTTTTAGGTTTTGGCTGTCATAGCTTTTTATACGTGATAAAAAATTTCTATATATTTTATGTTTTAGCCTAATATAATGCACAGTTGGGTTATCATAAAATTACTTTAGCTTTATATACTAGCATAGATATTTATTCTATGGTAAAAGAAAAAGAATAGCATAGGTTCAGTTTTGCTAAACTCATGGTAATATGAGAGAAAAAAATACAGAGCACCCAGGAAATCTGATTCTAATATCTTAGAATAAGACTATAGAACCTGGATTTTCCTTCTTTGTGATTATGTGGAGTCCAAACAGGAATTAGAAGCTTCTCCCTCCTCTGAATAGTTTACTCCTAATCCATGGAACTGTTGCATAAGATTCGGAATCTGGTCAACCCAAGGTTTCAGATGCAGAACAGGATAATTAATATGCATTTTAAAATACATGTCACACAGGTTAAAAGGCAAAGCAAGGGGTTTGGCAAGTGCATGGTCTGGCAAAACTGTTTCATTTTAAGCAAGTATAAACACATATTATACTCTAAGCCCTTTGCAAGGCCCTCTTGGGCATATGCATGAATTTCAGACTGTACTCTTCTTAATAACTTACAATGTAATTTATAGAGAACAGATATATATATATATATATATATATATATTTTTTTTTTTTTAATCCCTCATTGGTAACTTAATGTACTTGAAGTTCTTCATAAGGACATAATTCTGGACACTACTGACTATAAATTGCTCTGGTTCCTGTATTTCTGGATTGACCACTCTACTCTTTAAAGGACACTTTTAAATTCAGTGTGGGGGAGGGGGATTGCTTTGAGTCAGAACTAAAAAACTGTGGACACCTCACTATACCCCAGACTTATTTTAAATTTCCACTGAGGAGAAATCTGACTAGATCCCTCCTGTACTTATCCTGATTCAGTCTGAGATTCCAGTTCTTCATGCCAGGGCCTAGTTCTGAGGGCAAAATTTATAGGATTCATTTATGGCAGATATCTTTACTCAAGGGCTTTGCTTCATTTAACTTAGCAGCAGCTGGGACTTCTCACCCCATTCCTGAACATTCATTCCCAGCAGATAATTAACTTCCTACTCAACTGCAGAAAATAGTGGTGAGTGGTTCGGACTCCCGCATCTACCCACCCACCATTTACTAAACTGATCCATAATATCTTAGACAACCTTCATCTCATTCTCCTCCTTTACCTAGTTTCAGAAGAATACCTATTCACCTTTCCAAGAGAAGGACAGCCTGTCTACCACTCTTTGATTTCTACCATGTTGGAAACCTGCTCAATGAGCTTAATTCTTCAGTCTTGTATCCCAGATCTTGTCCTCTCCAGTGACAGCTTACCCTGAGCTTGCAACCATGATCAAGTTTTATCCCATATTTTAAAAAGAAAACAGAAAATCCAAGAAGACACAAAAAAATTCTTGCCCTCTTTCCACACTGTCAATTGTTGCCTTATTCTCTGTGCCTTATCATTGTACCAAATTATTGAAAGTGAATCACTTTCGCTTTTTCTGCTCACATTCTCTTCCCAAATCAATCTGCATCTGAATCCACCAGTCCATTGACATTGCTATCAGTCAAGGAGTAATAGAGACCCTTCTTTGGTATTTGCAAAGCTATTCTTTTTACTTCTATTTTCTCTCATTTTTCTCACTTCCTTGTTTTGTTTCCCTTTCACAATTTGCTACATAAATATTGGTGTGACCCAAGATTTTATTCTCTGTCACCTTCTCTTTTGCATCAGAAGGACTCTCTTGTCAGTCTTCTTTATGCTGATGACTTCAATTACCAGCTCTGTCCTTGGTTATTCCCAAGTCTTTATGGCTCTGACCTTTCTTCTTAAATTCAAATTCATATGCCTGGGGACATACCAGGTATCTCTACTTCATTCTACCACAGGCACTTTAAAGCCCAGACTTTCAAATATTAAAAGAATAATCTCCCCATCTTCAAACTTTTTTTCTCTATAGCTAATCCATAAGCGAATAGTTAGTTTCACATACTGTTTTAGTTAATCATTTTTAATTTTTCCCTTTTCATCTTCTTTACCTCTCACAGCTGACTTCTGTTTGCTTTTTTATTTTTCTTGTCATTTTAAGCCTTCTCTCCAGTTTCACTTACCTGGACTGTTGCAGAAGGCTCCTAATGGATCTTCCTCTTTCCTCTCCCTTCCTGCCCTTACACATCTTTCATACTGCTGGCAGCACTTTGTTGTTGTTGTTTTAATGAAAATAAATCTGTGTGGTTCCCTATTGCTAATATTATCAAGTCCAAGCTTCTTA